ATCAACATGCCCCCTGTCGTGAAGGTTTGACTAATCCTTGACTTTTCTGCATGCGCATGCAAGAGAGAGAGAGAGAGAGAGAGAGAGAGAGAGCAGTTATGTGATTCTTGGTACGCTCTCACTGGGGGCATACTCACACTAGCTCTTTTCTGAATGTATCTGGCTGCAATTACGGCCAGGCCTGGATGTATCTGACTGGAGTTACGGCGAGGCCTGGATGTATCTGACTGCAATCAGGTCTAGAGCTCGCTCGAGAAACTCCAAATGCAAGTATGCCCTCATGAGGAGGACAGAATCACCTTTGGACCTTGGTTTGCCTCTTGTCTGCCATGTTCTGACTCACATTTGGTCAAAGGTCTGGTCTGGTCTGGTGTCTGGGTCTTCTGTGTTTTTTTTTTTTTTTTTTTTTTTTTTTTTTTTTTTTTTTTTTTTTTTTTAACTGAAAACACCTAGTAGGAACAATTAGGAGTGATGATATGAGCAAACACTCCTACTTGCCCTAGCCATTATTGGACATTATTGTGTCCGACCATAACCGATGCAGCAACTGACAAGGTCCGATCGTGGCCACCTGATCGGACATTATTGTGTCCAACCATGTCCGGACTCACTTTTGGGCCAAGGTCTGGTCCTGGTCTGGATCTTAGCAGTAAATACATATTGTCATCAAACAGAACTGCAGAGTAAAGCGTAGGCAGAGAGGGAGAAGAGGGCAATACAAATGAGGGGCTGTGACGGACTGTTTTCGTCAGAGTTTCACCTACTGATCAGGAGGAGGAACCCTAATGTTTATGTGCGTATAGTATTCTGTGTTCAGGTCGAGCGTCAGTGGTTGGGTGGGGCCATCACTACTCGGCCATGCTGTGCCTCGAGTGCCAGCGGCGTGTCTGAGGCGTATTTTCTGGCTGTGAAAGACCTTTCTTTGTTTCGTGGGGTGCTTTGCGGGCTCGTGATGGGGTGTGAACCTGAAGTCTGTAGAGTTTTCCATCTGGTGTGGGTGAGTGATAGTTTGCTTTGATTTTCGTCACAGGTACCTTGAGGGCAGTGGCTGGTGGTCCCCACCTCCTCAGAGAGGTATCCGTCGTTGGACAGTCGTTGATGCTCAATCACAATTGGCGATAAGGTGGATTACCACTACTTCTCTGAGGTGGTGGGGACCACTTACCACTTACAGTGTAATCAGTATGGGGACTCTGGAGACTGTATAGGATGGTTCAGCCTCCTGACGAGTCGGTGAAACTCTGACGAAACAGTTTGTCACAGCCCCTCGTTTGTTGTCCATTCCTCCCTCCCTCTCTGCCTACGGTGTACCAGGCAGTTTTGTTTGACGATATATGATTACTAGCTGAACAAATGTTTATTTTAAGGGAAGAAAAAACCTGATGTGTCTTTCATGACCTCTGCTAAAATTGGAACGAGACGGAGAGGATTAGCATGGCCCCTGCGCAAGGATGGCACGTCGAGGGAATTAAAAAAAAAAAAAAAGGGGGTGATGTGTGAACTATATCATCTATATGTCAATTGTGATAACCCGTCCAAACACGGACTGAAACACACAGCTGATTTCTGAGTTTTGCTCATAGACTGAATGCCCTACTGAGTTCCCCGCCTGCTAAGTCTGTGTGTGTGTGTGCTTGCTGGACTGCATGTCTTTCTGAGTGCTGGTTGGCTTGCGTGTGTGACCATGCCTGTCTGAGTGCTGGTTGGTCTGAATGTGTGTGTGTGTGGCCCGCCAGGGCACTTGTTCGTTCGTTGGGCCCTCAGGGACGGTACTTACCTGTGGCCGTGGCTTCGAAGGGTTGCAGCAGGGAAAAAGCACTCAAGTAGCGTGTAGGCCGGTACCGCACCCGGCAGGGGGGTAAATATGCAGGTACCGGAGGCCGAGCAGAAGAAGACAAAAGTGGCATTTTTAGAGGCCGGTAGTGTAGGCTAGGTCTAGCGGGTACCAGTCTGAGTCTAGGGCCTGWAGGGGCAATATCAGAGTCTGCAATGATGTTCCCTCCAAAAGGAGGAAGAGGTACCGGTTGCTTGGGAAGGCCAGCGGCCTGGAAGTCACCGCCCAAGAGGCAAAGCAGGCCGCTATATCTTCCGGCCAGGCGGAAGACCCGGCCTCTATTTCGGTGTGCAAGTTTGGCGACACACTGGTGGAGCGCTGGAGGGAGCAGCGCTGGGTTGGAGCTGCGCTGCTGGGGAGGAAGAAGAAGGACTAGAGGGAGGAAGRAGGARGRARGAAGGAGGAAGGGGGAGGAGCGCCAGGGGTACTTACCTGGCTATGGTGGCAGCCATCTTCATCACCTTGGTGGGCGCTGCTGCAAGGAGTCCCCAGCCGGGGGAGCTACACCAAGAAGCTTCAAGGCAAGGCTGGGCATGGCGGCCTGAGCKGGAGCAGCCATAGCTGCTCTGGGTTGTCCTTTGGACGTCGGTGCAAGGCCTAGTAGTCCGCCATAGCCTCGGCCTATGTGTGTGAAGAGTGTGGGAGGCAGCCATGGCTATGGTGGACTTTGAGTGATACCTGCAGTAGAAAAGGGACTCGGACATGATTCTGGACCAGTCATTCAACATTGTATTATTATTTCTTGTATGAATAAGAGAAGGGGGAGATAAGGAGGAGGAGATTGTTGGGCGAAGAAGAAGAGCCTTGTCATCATCTTTGCTGGTGTACGTCTTCTTCTTCTTCTTTCTCATTTCTTCTTCTTCTTCTACTCCTCTCTCTCCTCTCAAGTTCATTCATTTCCTTCTGCAATTGGATGGCATTGTACTTCTCAGTGGATGTGTATCTCGAAATTGGACAGGGTCATAACATTGGTATCAGAGCGGATTCTACTTGCTGGTGAGAGTTGACTTTGCTACCCTAACCCTAACCTAAGTGGTTGAGGGCAACACTTAGGGTTAGGGTTGGATGGTTGAGGGAAGTGGGGCAGCGTGGTTAAGGGAAGCTGCCCCCACCTGGTTAGGTCATGTGGGCACCTGGAATCTGATTCAAGGGAGACACTTGGCAACTTAAAGGCTGCCCTCAAGTAGGCGAGCTTGAGGGTCAGCGGCCATTCTGCATCAACGGACTGCAAGTTGCTACTTTGATCTTCAACATCGACGGGGGATTCGGTGTTGCACTTGGGTGTTGGAGTCAGACCCTCCTAGGAGATAGGACACTAGTGTAGGGGTAGCGTTAGATGGGTCAGGAGGACCATATGAGAAGGGGGTGAGTTCTCTTCATCTCGAAGCTCAAGGCCACTCAGGTAAGTGTCGTGCACCTACGGGATGCCCATGTATTTGTGTATGGTATTGATTGACCTGCTGGGGTACTCTGGGTTTCTTTTCCTACTCCTCTATGGTCTTGATTGTGTGACTAGATGCATGTGATCTACCTACTCACTTGATGGATGGAAAATGAAGTATCTTGTTATACATGCCGAGTCTTTCTACAGTGCTTTGTCTTTTCATCACTGAACGGTTGTAGTCTGTAGGTTCTGCCAGAAGTAGAAATTTCGTTTTTCAGTGCAGTTGAGACTGAACTAAGTTCAGGTGGGACTCTTCTTGGTTGGGACCTGGTTGAGACCTACGTGGGACCAAGTGGGACCCTTGGGACCCAGCGGAACCGGGCCCAAACAAGGAGAGCCTCTGGACCCAACTCGGTTAGGCATTGGCCTCTTGTCTTCTTGGCTGGGATATGAGTTCATTCTTCTTGGATTAGGACACCCACTGCCGAGGGGATCTTGGCTTTGACGTTTCGCTTGCATTCTGATTGCACCGTCCGTGGCTTGACTCGCACCCTGTACGCCACTCAATTCTCCATTGTTGCATTTGGTTACTTGTTGTCTGATTTGCTGTACGGACATGGAGCTGGTCAGAGTGGACTCGAGAGGACCTCGTATGCAGTCTGATCAGACGGGGTCGCTGGATCAGACCTCTCTTTGAGTTTGATTGTTTCTTCTGCTGTTCTCTACTTCCAAATGAAATGCCGCTCCGGCTAGGAGTTCTACCTTCTTTTCTTTAAGCTTTATCTGTTTTTCTGAGTTCATTTCCGATGCCCGTGGAGACTCGCAATTTGAAAGAAGAGAGAGAGAGGAGAGAGAGAGAACAGGGAGAGAGGGAAAGTGATAGTCTGAGGTGGGCAAGGGCTGGGAAAAGGAGTGTTCGTCTAAGCGCAAGGGGGAGTGAACCTCTTGAGAGTCTGATTGATTCTTTTGCTGTCTGGCGACTCTCTGATCCACATGCCCACACTGACAGTCCAAAGATGGCCTTAACTTCAACACAATGGCGGGCCTTGTTAGATGCAGCCGGTGATGCTGAGAAACCACATCTGCAAGCACTCTTGGATGGTGCTATAAAACGGGAACAGGAGTCAGAGAAGGAGAGGAAGGAGGCCTTGCTGAGAAGGCAAGTAGCCCTCCTAGAGACTGTTCCCTCACTGACTGAAGAGCAGTGCGGGGAACAGCTGCAGTCTATCCTCACAGCCTTTGTTCAAATCAGGAATCTTGAGGACCATACCACTCAGATCGCTGAAGTCTTTGCAAAACTGCAGACACTTCAGGATGATCTGTTTGAGATGACCCTCAAGTACCATGAACTGACAAAGGAGGTGGCGGATCTGCGACAAGCCCAAGTGGCCAACCCTCTTCCCCTACCTCCTGGGACCGAAGTTGCAATCGAAACTACCTCTGCCCCTCTTACTGTGTCTTCTTCTACCTCATCTTCGAGTGTGATGGCAACTCCTTCAGGACCTGCAGCAGATGCAGATTCCACTGTTGCTGTAACAAGCAATGAGGCTGGAAATTCTGCAATTGCTGCAACCCCAAGACCGGAACCAGCTGCTGCTGGACCCAGCCATGCCAGCCCCTCTGTGGACCGGAAGGCGGTTCAAATACTGTCCAAGTACGATGGCAAGGAAGACATCGAGTCCTGGATCGACTCCATGAGGGCTTACTTTGAGATCTTGGGGACACAAGCTGAGACCCAGGCACTCCTGGTTTGGAATTGTCCACTCAATTTTGCTTTGATGTGGTCAAGGGCGCGGTTCCAACTAACTTCACTAGTCACCTGGGCAGGGACTACATTGCTTATACTGACTGGCTTGCCTTAATGAAGGATGTAGTCAGTCTGGAGGCCATGGACCCCGTTAGCACGGCAGGCAGCAAAAAGCCCATGGGAGGCAGACGGTTCAAGGGCAGCAACCGTTTTGCTGTGCATGACCTGCTAGAGGCCGAAGGAGAAGCTGATGCGGTTGACCCCACTCTTGGTGACGACCAAAAACAGGACTCTGATACAACTTGTTCTTCAGCCCATGAGTCCGACGCAATTAACGAAGAAGAAGCATTTTCTGCCTTTAAAAAGACTGCCAACACTAAGGGACCGAATCGGAGTGCCGGAAAGAGTTATGTCCAACTCCCCAAAGGAGTTAAGATCCCGCCTAAACCGGAGGATGCATCTACCAAACCGTTGGTTGACCTTCGGATCACTGAGAATGACTGGCGGGGCAGACTCAAGAAGGGGGTTTGCCTGCATTGCCAAAAGCCAAATCACAAGGTCCAAGACTGTTATAGGTTGGAGGGAAACCAGAACCGGGCGTAGAGTCAGATTCAGCAAACTCTAAAATAGGTGAGTCAGGATCTGATGAAAATCAGCAGCCCTCCCTTGAAGCCCAACCATATGCTGAAGACAAGGCTGAGGTGAGTAAGGTGTTGTAGGACGAGCCTTGGGAGGAGTCTGAGATGATTGACTTCCACTACCACTTGGAGCATTGCGCTGAAATGAAACAGCAGCGTGCCCAAGGGACAATGAAGTTAATCTTCTTCAAACTTCTCATAAACCACCGCTATCTCCGTGTGTTAGTTGATTGTGGTGCTACAACTAACTTCATGTCACCACATGGGATACGCAAGGTGGGCTTGGGGATGAAGCAAGTGGCCCTGCAGAACCCTTGCCGGACCCAAGTTGGCAACAAAGAAGTTGTCTCTTCTACACATGCAGTCAAAGGTGTGCGTACTACCTTTGACAAAGGTAAGACTGTCACCCATGCGCTGAACTTCTTTGTCCTTGACAAGTGCCCCTTCGACGCCGTCCTTGGCTTGGGCTGGCTGCAGTCCCAATGCGAATGGACTAAGTGGAAGGAATCACTCTTCATGGTCAAAGATGCTCAGGGGAACGAGCTTCCTGTCCTCTTGGATGAGAAGCACGAATCCCCAGTGACTTTTCTGAATGCATTGAAGTTGTGCAAGAAGTGGTGCAAGTACAAGAAGGAAGAACAAATGTATGTTGCCTTTGTTCGTCTTGCTAATGAGCCTTCTACTTTTGCTGCTAATACCACTACTACTTTGATTAATGATCCTACTTCTAGTACTTCTACTACTAGCACCTCTACCTCTCTACCCTCTAATAGTCAAAATGATCCTACTTCAGATTCCGTCGTCTCTATACGCGACCTGCGACCGGACTTTGGTGATCCCTTTGCTGATTCCCCACCCGCACCTGTCCCATCAGACATTCAAGCCCTCCTCGATCGGTTTCCGGAAGTCTTGGCGGAGCCACGTGGAGTCCCCACGCGACCAGTCCGACACACCATCGAATTGGTCGAGGGTGCAGTTCCTCCAAAGGGTTGCGTGTACCGTATGGGACCCGACGAGTTGGAGGAACTCCGGCGGCAGATCGATGAGATGATTGACAAAGGGTGGATCAAACCAAGTGAATCTGAATTTGGTGCTCCTGTGTTGTTTGTGCCAAAGAAAGAAGGCAAACTCCGCATGTGTATTGACTATCGCGGTCTAAACTGCATTACAAGAAAGAATGCTTACCCATTGCCTCGTATAGATGACTTGCTTGATGCTGCAGGCGGGTGTAAGGTCTTCTCCAAGATCGATCTCAAATCTGGCTACCACCAGATTGAAGTCGATCCTGCGGACCAGCACAAGACTGCGTTCAAGACGCGCGATGGGCTTTATGAGTTTACCGTAATGCCCTTCGGTCTTACGAACGCACCAGCCACGTTCCAAAGCCTCATGGACAAGGTCCTCCGCGAACAGATTGGCCGGTTCGTGGTAGTGTATCTGGACGATATCCTGATTTTCAGCAAGTCCATGGAGGAACACCTCAAGCATCTTGAGGAGGTACTTGCCATCCTCAAGAAGACGCAGCTCCATCTCAACTTGGAGAAATCCAAGTTTGGGAGGGATCGCGTCATCTATCTTGGGCACCGGTTGTCTGCTGCAGGCCTAGAGCCTGAGGCAACCAAGATTGAGGTCATACGGGATTTGGCCTCAGCATGTGAACATTCGTGAATTGCGTTGTTTTCTTGGTCTCGCGTCGTACTATAGGAAGTTTGTACCCCGTTTTTCTATCATTGCTCATCCATTGTCGCGACTAACCAGCAAGAATGTGTCTTATTCCTGGGATGCCGCGTGTACGGAAGCATTTCGAACTCTTAAGGAAGCCTTGGTAAGTTACCCGGTACTCCGCATTGCCGATCCCAAACTGACCTTCGTAGTTACTACGGATGCAAGTCAGTATGGGATCGGTGCGGTGCTGCAACAAGATGATGGCGATGGCCTGCGGCCACTCGAGTACTACAGCAAACAAATGCCCAGCGTAAAGGTAGCCACTTCCACCTACATGCGCGAGCTCTACGCTTTGCGCATGGCGTTGGATCACTGGAAACATTACCTGTTGGGACGCCACTTCAAAGTGTTTTCAGATCATGAGACGTTGAAGTGGATCAAAATGCAGACTACTCTGTCCCCTACCTTGCTTCGCTGGTTTCATGAGATTGACATCTTTGATTTTGAATTGAGACACAAAAAGGGCTATTACAACCGAGTCGCTGACGCATTGTCGCGCCACCCTGAGTACATGACTTGCCTTGTGAAATCCTACGACCTCCGGAAGAAACTGAAGGAGGAGCTCGTAGAGCAGACAGCCAAGGATCCGGAACTTAGTTCCATCCTTGAGCAGCTGCGGGCTGATCCTAGTAGTCAGCCTGATTTCCACGAATATGGAGGACTGATTTTTTGCCGATACGGGAACCATGATCTTTTGTGTGTACCCAACCATGAGCCTCTCCACACAAACTTTCTGGACTTGGCTCATGGCCGGAGCGGGCACTTCGGCATGGCAAAAACGTACGCTAACCTGCTGAGACAGTTTGATTGGCCTGGCATGAAAGGGACTGCTGAGAAATTTATAGCTGAATGTCAAGTCTGTCAACGAATCAAACCATGTAGGCAAAAGCCCATGGGGCTACTCACACCCCTACCCATTCCTGATGGCCTCGGGGAATCTGTCTCCATCGATTTCACGGACATGGGTAAGGTAAGCAAGAATGGGTTTTCACAAGTCATGGTGATTGTTGACCGATTCTCAAAGTTTCTTAATCTGATCCCTCTACCCCCTCACACCCCAACAGATCTAGTGATTCGCGAATTCCAGCAGAAATACCTGCTGCAATTCGGAACCCCGAAGACTCTTGTGAGCGATCGGGACCCGCGGTTCATTAGCGCTGGATGGAAGGAATTCACATCCCACCTAGGAATCAAACTGTGCATGACGTCTGACCGACACCCCGAAGCCAACGGTTTGGCTGAGGAGATCAACCAGACTGTATTCCAACTACTCCGTGCTTTGATCATTCCTGATCAGGAAACATGGGATGAGGAGCTGTATTCTGTCAAGGGGTTGTACAACAACTCCGTTCACTCTGCCACCACCACGACGCCCAATAGGCTGCACTACGGGTGGCAGATCCGCAATCCGCTCTCCTACTTGTTCCCTGAGCAGCCAGCTGGTTTGACACCCGGCAGGCCCGGCTTCAGGGCTTAGTATGATCGCTTGCTCAAAGTTGCTGTTCCAGCTATGACCAAGCGACAGCATGCCATGATTCATCATGCGAACAAGAAGCGCAAACCATCGGAGATTCAGGTAGGAAGTTATGTCTGGGTAAAGATGTCTGAATTCTCAGAGGAGGAGGGGACTCTACTACGGGCCTTGGGAAGTTTTGRATGTGATCGGGGAAGATCATTTCGGCCCTTCATACGTTGTGGACGTGCCTGCTCACCTGCGCACATATCCCGTGTTTCATGCATCTAAGCTGAATCTCCATCGTGAAGCCGAGACATTCGATTATCACGAAGATTTATCCCTCGCGCAATCAAGGGCGGGCATGAGATAGATAGAATCAAACAGCATGTAGGTAAAGGGAGAAACAGACAGTACCAGGTCCATTTCATGTATCACCCGTTAGATGATCTCTACTGGATCTCCAAACAGGAACTGCTACGCAGCGCACTGCGCATTGTCAATGCTTACGAGCGACAGATCGCCACTAACGCCGCACCAAAGATCTCAGCAAGGCTCTCTGCAACAGAGTAGTCCAGGAATCTCTTTGCCTTGCTCGCCTACGATGCGTTTGCCGAGGACTCAGAATGAGTTACTCGCTTGAAGGGACCTCGCTCTTGAGGGGGGGGTAGTGTGATAACCCGTCCAAACACGGACTGAAACACACAGCTGATTTCTGAGTTTTGCTCATAGACTGAATGCCCTACTGAGTTCCCCGCCTGCTAAG